GTCAAAGCGTGACATTAATCCTGCTCAGGATGGATTTACTGCTGTAATTTTAATACTACACTGACGAGAAAGACACACAACCACCCCTTCACATCTCCGGGCTCTGGGATTGAATCTTTTCAATCAGTATCAGATATTCCCATGCCAAATCATCACTTTACTTTCGAACATTCAGTTTTAATTTTCACTTAAAAAACATCAGTGGTTACAGTAGTAGACCTGAAACGTTTTTGTGACTGAAAACATAACTCTTAGGGAAAAAAAAGGTTCAATGTGGTCCTATATAGAACCCTTGGGTTCTTGGCTTAATTTTAAAGAACACTATGTCAGACAGGCAAGAGCCAATGCAGACTGACGAGATTGGCCTGCCACAATGGACTAGCCTGAGCCTGCAAGGAGGACGGAAAGACGAACGCGTTCTCATCCCAAAGCGCCATATAGGACGCTTTTGCAAAAGCGTAAATATCCAACGCACATGGCACCCTTTAACGTCTAATGAGACGCTTCGGTTAATGGTTAAGTTTAGGTATGGTGTAGGGTAAGGGTTAGACCACTAGGGGACGCCTTCTGCCCAAATATATCTGCGTCTCATTTCACGTTAAAGGGTGCCATGTGCGTTGGATATTTACGCTTTTGCAAAAGCGTCTTATATGGCGCTTTGGGATGAGAACGGGCTCGAAAGACGCATCGCCCCGGGACTTGAACCACATGGAGAGTCAGACCAGGTGTGTGTGTCTCTGCAACACTGTGTCGCTGAAGGAGTGCTTGTGGAGTATGTGGAGGGTATGGAGGGAAGCCATACCCACAACCCCACTATCATGGAGATTCAGGAAGTAGCCAGCAGTCATATCACCCTGTAGCCCAAGGCTGGTTGCCTATACTGAAGCTAAGCAGGACTGAGCCTGGTCGCCCATCCAGTACTCGGACGAGAGAGCTTCTGGAAAAACTATGTAGCTTCTGGAAAAATTGTTAGTGAGGCCAGCAGGGGGTGCTCACCATGTGGTCTGTGTGGGTCCTAATGCCCTAGAATTAGTGATAGGGACACTGTACTGTCAAAAAGCACCGTCCTGCGGATAAGACGTTAAACCGAGGCCCTGACTCGAGGTCTTGGTTTTTAAAAATCACAGGATGTCTTTCGAAAAAGAGTACACTGTAAAAAAATATTGATGGTTTAACTTAAAAAAGTAAGTAACCTGGTTGCCAAGTTCATTGAACTGGAAAAAGTGGGTTAATACAATGAAGGAGATTAATTTAATCATCAGAAACTCAAAATAATAAGTTATCTCAACTAAATAAATTATTATAAAGTTGATTTGACGAAAGAAAATATGTTGTGCTAACAAATCTTGAAAATATTTTTTACAGTGGTCAAACCCCGGTATCCTGGACAAATTTGCCCATTTGCCTCTGTCCATCATCATGGCTTCCTAGTCATCCCTATACTGATTGGCTCTATATCACTCTTTCTCCTCTCCACCAACAAGCTTGTTGTGTGGTGGGCGTTCTGGCGCAGTTTGGCTGCCGTCGCATCATACAGGTGGATGTTACACATTGGTGGTTGTTGAGGAGATTCCCCCCTCCCTGTGTAAAGCGCTTTGAGTACCCCCCCAAAAAAAATCGTTATATAAATGTAACAAATTATTGCTGTTATTTAAGTAATTTGGAGGTGTTTTGGGAAGATATTTCTCTGTTTACCTCTATTGGTCTCGCCTAGCCCTGAGTCTCCTGTTTATCAGCTGGTTTTGCCCATCAGTATTTTATGATCTATGAGTAGTTCATAAAGACATTTCTTGTGTCATGAAGACAAATTTCTTCAGTGTGTAAGCACACTTTCTGAAACAAATGTCTGTTTGTCTCCATCTACAGGGCTTAAAACGTTTTTACACATTATGTGATGCTGATATGCATGTACGAGGGTTCAGTGGAGGAGACGTCGTTGGAATGGAAGTGATTGTATAAAAGAATTTAATCCACATCACAAATGTTACATCCTGTGGAAGAAAGGGGCATTTCTGCACATTAATCACAGACTATTTGTCTGCATTTAAAGTAGGTAGGCCTACAGTTGTTGTTTTTTGTAATCCATGAGAAAATATTTTTAAGGGTGTGGACACTGGACAGCATTGATACACTCACCGATCTTCGGCTATTTAATAATCGTCGCTGTGAACCGGATCTAAGAAGGCACAGCTGAGCCATGACAAAATGTCATTGTTAAAACTCACCAGATGGCAGTATTTCCCAATTCTCCAAAGTTCATCAGACCTGCAAATGATTGAGAACTTCAAGAAACTCTTGCAGACAGGTACAAGACTTTATATGATGTGAAATATTTTTAATTAGCCTACATTAAATATCAGCCTATATAATATTGTAATTTATGCTAAACACTTCTGAAAATAAAAGTTTTTTTTATTTTTTTATTGGCAACATTAAGTACTGGCAACATTTGTTTCATTAAGAACCTTTACAATCCATTGAATCTTATCACTGCACAAAAGGTTCTTTATCGTGCAGAAAGGTTAAAATGTTCATCACACTAAGAAAAACATGGTTCTTTTAAGTACTGTTAGCTGAAAGTTTCTTTAGGAAACCCAAAATGGTTCTTTTATGGCATCGAGACAAACGTCTGACAGGTTTTTTCTATGGTCGCCATTTAATGAAAAAGATCAGCTGATCAGTGCTTTAGAGCTGGAGTTGAAAGCCAAGGAAAGGCAACATTTGCCGGTCTCATGAAAATGAAGGGTTGAGCCTCATTTTCCTGTGGGCTGAAATAGACAGCATTTAGTGGCAAAATAAGGGGTGTTTACAAAGGATGCATGTCTGGTTTTATGCAATCATACAGGTGAATATATATAAATATATATAATTTTTACATGCACATTATGGAGTTTCAAATGGTGCAGAATTGCAATGAATTTTTGTGTGCAAAATCCAGTAATTTCAAAAGAAATCAATACAATCGGCAAACGTTCCCCATTCAGATTTCGCAATGGGTTCATGTTGATAATGCAGATTCCTTGTGTTGACCAACGTTCTGTTGATTGGTTAGTGACTTCTGAGCTGTGCTTCATATTTCACTCTGCTCTTGAAAAAAGACAATGGGCCTTTATTACCTGCATATGTGACTGCGTCTTTAGTCATAAATGTTCACTTGGCCTAAACAGAAGCTGCGCTCTCATTTCGAAAAGCTGCACCCTCTTTAGGTCACATTGGTTTGCCGCATATGGCATTGAGGCTGTCTCATTTATGAAAAGTACATTACTTGCAAAGTAAGAAAATAAAGCCTCAGGAGGAATAACAGTCAATTATATAATGGTTACTTTTCTTAAAATAGGTATGAAACAAAAGTTACCATAGTATTTTCTTCCTTATTGTGAGGCATGTCAGCTTCTTGAGTAAAATGGCTTCTCAAACAAGAAAAAATGTAGGGCGGGGTTTGATTTTGTCCATGGTGAATTGATTGGATGGTTGTGGTTTGCTAGATCTCCTGTGAGTTACTTGTCCTGGACTCGCACCAGTAAACACGCCGTTGGAGACGTTATTTTGATTTAAGATTATGAGCTAGGGAACATAAAAAAAGGAGAAGACGTGCACAGAAAAATTAAAAGCCAACTGCAATATTCCATTCGTAGTGTACGAAATATAAGCTGACTACTACGCCACCTCATTTAAGGCACGAGGAGCCATCTAAAGGTCACAATACAGATTGTGGACAACAAAGTTTGTAAAAAGAATTTTATCATTCCAATAAATCCATCAAATGTTAAAAAAGTGTTGATAATAACATTCACAGAATTAGCGCTCCTCAAGACTGCAAGAGGGCCGGGCCTGCCCTTGTGGACCTCCTGCCACCACCTGTAAGAGACAGAAAAAAAACAGGAGAAACCCCACAGCATACACCAGAAATATAACCTTTAAGTCACTATTTCACACACCACACAATTAGTGTCACACCACCCAAATCACCTACACCGAAGGAGGTTTTAGTGTAGATGCAGGCCCGGCCCTGTACAAAACCTCCAAGCACTGGAACACACAAAAAAGGAGCAGTACCAAAGAAACAACGCAACTGACAGACAACATTTACGATCGAAGTCAATATAAAAACCAATAAACCACAATATAAATCTAAAATATACAAGAAACAGTGGCTGGTCTGCCATTTATCGAAAGTACTGCAACACAGTTACCCAATCTCAGCTCTCAATCCTCAAACCTGATTGATAAAGGGTGTACATCAGCATTCCAACATGGCCATCCATGTTGGTACACCGTAGCAATAAATATTTGTCTGCCTTGCTTCCCAGACAGAATAAACCCTCTTAAATTATCAGCCCAATGTGCACAGAGGCTGCACGTTGAGCACAACAAACACACGCTAGGACTGCAGAACAACCACCACCTGTTTCTGTAAGAACCAGGTGGGTGTAAGGGTTGACCATCATTAAGACCGCAAGAACCCTTCTTAATGATAGAAATAACCACCTGCACCTGAAAATTATTGCTGGCCAGTCTCCTCCCACACATTATAATAATAATAATAACAATAATAATAAAAAAAAATAATAATATATGTTTATCTTCCCCAATGTGACTTTTATGAGACATATCCGAAGAGAAATGTGACTTCCGGAGGGCGCAGCCTTCGAAATGAGACACCAACGGATTTGGCGGTTACCTGAGGAGGCAAGTAAGAACTTAGACAACATAAAAATACTAATGATAGGCTATTATTATTTATCACTTGATCATTTACACATATTAGGCTACAAAAACAGTGCTTTTTATATAACCATTATTACTAGCTAACACTTGGTTTAGTGTTCTAAATTGCGTCAAAAGAAGTTGGGTCGCCCGAATTATTATTACTATTCACAGTTTGCAAGTTTTCCCGCTTTCGGAACACGTATAACCCCCCCAAATGCTGCCTGTGTAGTCAGCTCACTAGGTTTTACGCCAGCCCTAAAGAGGGCGGAGGAATAACACTAATACCCACAAATCAAAACACGATCCGCTTCAAGTTTTCTCTCGGTTGGGGAAAGAAAGAAGAGTTTGACATGAAGGGTCACAGAGGGATGACAAACTTTTGACTGACATATGTTTTCAGGAATGTGTTTTTCTCCATCATGTCCCGATGATGATGGCCAAACTGCAGCAGAAACTTTTCAAAAGTGCTGGAGAAAGGATTTCTCGTGTAAAAGAGAGCAGACCAGGATCTCTGTACAAGTCTGATCGATTCATCAGTTAAGACGTGTGAATATTTCTATATTCGTCATCTAGCCTACACGTGCGCTTGTTGTTGGATTTTAACCCAAACCATTCAGGAGATTGAAAAAAAGTTCAAGTAAACCGTGTTCCTAACCTGTCAGTTTGACTTTACAGAGGTTGTGAAGGACAGTAAATCCGGCACAAGTATTACATTAAACGGACAACATGCAGAAGTTGAATTCGGTGAACAGTAACGCGGAGCTCCAGCAGCGGCTGGCGGATCACGGTGGATCCGGAGACACAGCGAGGGAAAACGGCACCAAACACATCCCGAGTCCCGCTGAACCTGTGGATACGGTTCAATGCTCCAGCAGAAAGATGCTGGTCGGGCTGGACGTCCTCTGTCTTCTCGTGGGTAAGAGAAACAATGCTGGGTGACACCTTTTTTAATAACTTTCACTTTGATGTTAATGGCATGCTATTAGATTATTTACATTAAGTGTAATCAACTATTACAATATAGCCTAGTTTCATTAGTAGCCTAAGTGTTAGCCGGTCAAATCAAATACATATCTATTAAGGTTTATAATGTAGGCTAGTTACCTAATGTTTTTGTTGCCATGCGTGTATCATTTCCACATTTCCCCTCGCATGCAAAGGAAGCAACACAGCAAATTTATTGCTGGACTTTGCAGGTTGTGGTACATCCACTTCATCTGTTTTCCTCATATTATTACAAGGAAAAAAAGTTTTTGACATTTGATGTCAAAAGTTGACATGGGAACAACATGTCAAAAGTGGAGGAATCCAAAGTCGCTCCATCCAAATAATCCACTCAAAAGCCAAAGCAGAGCTCAGAAAGGGAAAATAATAAGTTTATAACCTCTACGCACGTGGTGTGTGCATGTTTTCAGTTTAAAGTTGGCGTTTGTCCTGGGAAATTCAGCCGTATCCATGGAAACAAGCATTTCTCTAGAGAAAAGTGAAACTGCTTTTTCATTTCAGATGGCCTGAACTGGTTGTGCTGTTTACTTTGTTTTGCCTAATACTGTATACTTTATTGTAACTTTTATTAAAACAGAATTAGGTTAGTTGCACTGTAAAAAAGACCACACTGTTCACACCAAGGATAACTAACAAAACAAAATGTATATAGTTTTAAAAATCTTTCTAGATGTAAAAGAATAGCAGAGATCACACCTCAAGTCAATAACAGCACAGAAAAACAATATCTCTGGACAGCCAATCAGAATCCATCCTGCTTTAGAGAGCTTGTCCTGTTGGGATAATATTGTTAGTGTGTCTTTATAGTTCTTGTTTTTGGTGTGAACGGGCCTTAGGCTATGTTTACACGGAAACGATTCTGAAGAGAAAACGCAAAAGTGGCGTTGCGTCATCACTTTTTATTCTACGTTTAGACGAGCGTTTTGGGTGGGAAATCCGCGTGCATATGGTGACGCAAAGGAGTGTGAAATTCAATGTAGTATGCACTCCAGGCAGCTAGGTGGCAACGTGAAGCACTGCAACACAACAACACCAAGTCCGCGCGCCTGCGTACAGCCTTCACTGTCAAGCAGACTTTTGTGTTTTTTACCGTTTACACGGGAACGCGGCGGTGGAGCGTTTTTAAGATTTCCACTCTGGAGGGTGGTTTCACTTTTTTGCGTTTTTAAGCCCCAAAAACGCCGTCACCGTGTAAACGAAAGGCACATCCGATAAAATATTTTTACGTTTTCACCCGCGAGCATTCTCGTGTAAACAGGGCCTTAGCTGTACAATTGTTACTGAAAGGGACTGCTTCAGATCAGACAGTTAATTTTTAATTTCAAACAAAATTGCAATCAGATTTATTGTATTTTAAAAAAATAAAATAAAACCCAGTTAATTAAGATGCTACCATATAAAACACACTTAAAACATTTTTTTTTTTTTGCTGTATGAAGCATTACAGAAAAATATTGGACATTCAAAATAGTGTCAAATTCCAAAGTTTCTAAAGAAATTGAATTTAGATATTTTAATAGTAATATTTGAATCTAGACTACACTAACTGATTGCACATTATATAAATTTAGTTCATGACGTAAAGTCTCCATTATGACATTTTCATCCGCACAAATCCTTGAAAAATGTGGTCCTGTTAGTTTGTTGACACATTTACTGCATTCTAAAATCAGTGCACACCCCATCAGTTTAAGATGATTTAATGTGTCACAACAACATTCACAACCGGGATAAGGGAATAAACAGCTTAATTATGTTTTTCATGTCGTTGTTTTTGGTGTGCCAAATAGAACCTGTCCAGGCAGACAGACAGGTTACAGTGAGTTCTTCACCGGCCTGACTGTGCTACTCACACAAGACGTACTGTAGGAACTGCTCTTGGCCTCCAGGTGAAAGTCCTTGTCCCACCGAATCTGTTTTTAGAAACGTGACGTGTCTAGTAGTACCGCTTGAGGTTTATAGAGGAAATGTCTCGCAGAGAGCCACCTTTGATTAACTTTCTGCCATATGACGTTACAGTCATGCATTCAGCAGTGCATAACTGGATTAATCCATGATTAAGAAAGAGTCATATAACCATGTGGCGACAGACTGGAGAAAGCCGGAAGTGAGCAGAGAGGAACTGTGCTGTGGGATGAGGCATAATGATGTGATAACGGACGAGGACATTTGCGATTGCTCTCTGTGGTTACGATCGTAAACACATTTCCCTATTTTGATGGACTTCCTCCTGACATTTGTTACAACTGTCAAACATTCAGAGTGTTTAAACATTTTTACCATATTCATCCTATCTATAGCATTGTTGTACACTTTAGCATACGTTTAAAAAGTGTACTTATTATGGAAGCACTATTATATACTTAAGTACGAACCGAATGTAATGTTTTCGAACATTTATATTGAAAGCAATTAGCTGAACTTTAGAAAGCTTTTTTGACCCACTTAATTAGACCTTGAGTAGACCCTGTTAACCATTTACATTTTTATGATCTAAAATTATAAAGCCATTAAAATCTGATTAGATTGACTTTTTTCAAAGGCGCTGCAAAATAGCTGATATGAACACCCATGACAGCAGACAGCAGACTTTAACAGTTGACTTAAAGGAGTAGTTCACTTTAAAAAAACTTTTGCTGATAATTTACTCACCCCCATGTCATCCAAGATATCCATGACTTTCTTTCTTCAGTCGAAAAGAAATTAAGGTTTTTGATGAAAACATTCCAGCATTTTTCTCCATATAATGGACTTCAGTGGGAACCAAACGGTTCAAGGTCCAAAAGACACTTTCAGTACAAACTGTTCAAAGGACTTTAAACAACTCCATCAAAATGAATGAATATTTTTTTGTGTCATTTGGTTCATTCAACGAACGAAATGAACAAATGACTCGGGGGGGGGGGGGGGGATTCATTCATTTTGATGAATGAGTTCGAATAGGAGAGTCACGAACGAAGTCAATGAGCTTATAAAACTTGAACTTTGTTATTTATTTATTAAATGAGCGATCGTTTCGCTTGATAAGACCCTTATTCATCGTCTGGAATCGTTTAAAGCCCTTTAACAGTTTGCAGTTTGCACTGAAACGGTCTTTTGGACCTTGAACCGTTTGGTTACCATGCAGTGAAGTCCATTATATGGAGAAAATCCTGGAATGTTTTCATCAAAAACATTAATTTCTTTTCGACTGAAGAAGGAAAGACATGGACATCTTGGATGACATGGGGTTGAGTAAATTATCAGCAAAAGTTTTTTTTTTTTAAAGTAGTGAACTACTCTTTTAAACCGTATGCAACAAGTTGCTTGGAAACAGTAAACAACCCACACTGAATAATAATTCTTGGCAGAAGTTGATGCTGAATTTTATTACTAACATATTTGAATGCTTACTAAACATCTTTCATCGTAATGTAACTGTTCCTGGCTTATTGCTTTTTGAAGCGTGAGACTATCGCAGGCTGAAGGATTGTAATTGTTTTTTTTTTTTCCCACTAGTGAATAGGGTATTCATGCCACGGCATTCTGATCCACTTTTAATAAGTCCAACAAAGCTGGAATAAGAGCAGCTTTGATGGCGGATCTGTGTAAGAAACTCTCGCTGTGCATGTGAATGTGAGCGCTGACTGCATCAGAAGCGGAAAACAACACTGCAGATTGTTTACTGAGGCGCTCAGACACGCTGAGGCGATCGATCACTTACTTGGCTCTGCTTCTCTGCAACTCTTTTGTCGGTACATTCCACTCGGCCAGGCTGCGATATATAAGGAGGTTTAAGAAAAATGCTTGCCCTGGAGATATGCTTGAGTACTTTGGCTTGAGCTGGGTCAAAGGGGAAAGTGTGAAAGAAAGGTCACAGGCATACCTGTGTGTGTGCGTTGTGAGAATTCATGCTGAAACGAGCAAATGATTTCTTATCTCTCTCCAACAATTTCACAATCCGTGAACAGAAAGCATCGGGTTTACACCTGGTATTAAGATGGGTTTTCAGTGATCCAATTGCAAGTGGTCGGTCGAGATGCATTATCGCTTCCACCCGGTGTTTAAGTTACACGTGTGACCACTTGTGTAAGGAAGGATTAAGGTACTCTTTTATTTTTTTTTCCACGGGTGAGTGCACCCCATTCACTATTGAATGAATGAACCCATGTTGCACGCCTAGAAAAGAAGCAGTTAAGTTTGAAGTTGTTCAACACGTCCCAGAACGATCATGTGTTAGGAGTCATTTACATTGAACCTGTTTGTGTGTGTGACGTTTTAAATGACGTTTTGTTAACCAAGTTCGAGAAGCACGTTCAGATAATCTACCTAATCAGCATGAGAGGAGGCATATATGGTCGACTCACCTCTGTTCCAGTTTTCCTGCATCGTCGCTCTCAATTATTCTTTTCCCAGCCAGGGATGGGGGTGGAGGGAGTACTCTGGATTCAGGATAAATTCAGAGATCGGACAGGATGCCAAATATGCATATGCTATACTATACAGTGTTAACTCCTGAAGGTGCCATGTTTTTAGAACAGCACATTTTTAGACGTCAAGTGTATGTTTATATAGGAAAATCAATGGAAACGTAGTGCCGTGGAATGCAAAATGCATTCTGTGTGAACAGTACCAAGCTTCACTTGATTTACAGAGCGTTTACTTCACACAATGATTTTAGTGATCCAATCACAAAATGTTTTAGACCCTGTATTTAGTGCTTACCAAGTTTGATATAGGCTTTACAGAGACCATGATACTAGTTGGATGGATGGATAAGTGGATGGATGGATAATTAGGTGTGTGGATGGATAAGTGGGTGAATGGATGGATGGATGATGGATGGATGGATAATTAGGTGTGTGGATGGATAAGTGGGTGAATGGATTGCTTGATAAGTGGGTAAATGGAAGGATGGATGGATGGATGAAT